GCTTATCTTCTTTTCTGAAAAAGGAATTCTTCTCCTCTAGCTACGTGCATATACATATTTACATCTGTGTATAAGTATACATATACATGTATACATATATATATATATATATATACGTGCATATATGTGTCTTTACATATATATATATGATATATGTATATATGCATATATACATATATATATACATATATATATGTACATATATATATATATATATATATATATATATGTATACCTATAATTTTCTATGTAACAATAACATATATATGTAGATATATATTATATATATGTACATATATATAAATTCACCTATCATTTGTTTTTGTAGATGATAATAAAAGAAAAGTTTATAGAAAACAAAGCCGGCATCCAAACACTTTCATCTCTGCTGCAGCGCAGCAACTGACCAAAGGAGTTCTATATGCTGCTGCTGCTGCTGCTGCTATTGCACATACTGCTGCTGCTGCTAATAATACTAGACAAAAATTACACTTAATGTACAGATTAATAATAATAATATTAAATAATAAACGAACATGGCGTACTGCTAATGCATAAATTAATAGTAGTTATAATAATAAACAAAAACAAATTAATAAATAATAATAAACACTAGCTGCTCTCCATGTCTAAATTAATACTAACAAATAACAAAAAGTAATAAATGCAAAAGAACTTTGCAGATATATATCTATATAGAGATAATATTATTAAATAATGAGCCATTGTAAATAATATAATAATTAATAATTTAATAATTCATGGTAAATAGAAAATGAATTTATAGTGGAATAACCAAATACTAAAATAAGAATAAAACTACGAAGTACTAAAATAGGAATAGTGATATCTAATAATAATAATAATAATAATAATAATAATAATAATAATAATAATAATAATAATAATAATAGCAACATAATAATAGTAACATAATGATGATAAAATGATAACAACAATAACTCTGAACAAAAAGAAGGAAAGCGAGACAAAGAAAAAACAAAAAAAAATTCTGTTTCTTTTTGAGTTTTCTCTGTAACATTATAAACTATTCGTTTATAATGAAAAATGTCTATTAAAGGAGAGAAAAAGAGAGAAAGAACTTAAAAAGAAAAACAAAAAAAGAAATATAAAACAACAGATTATAAGCAATCAAAGAAATGCATAATAAAGAAAACATAAAAGGAGGGAGAGAAAAACATTTTATTTATTTCTTTCTCTTCTTTGTCTTTTATTTGTTTGTCTGCATATTTATTTATTTATTTATTTGTCTTCTTTATCCAGTATCTTTTTTATTTATTTGCTCTGCTTGTTTGTTTGTTTATGCCTTTTATTTATTCACATATTTATTTCTTTATTATCTTGTTTGTTTCTTTGCCTATTCATTTATTTATTTTATTTGTTTTTTGTCTGCCTTTTTGTTTGTCTTTCTACCTCTCTTTGTGTGTTACATTTCGTTTCTCGCTGTTCGTTTGTCTGTTTCTTCATTTTTTCCCTCATTTGTTTAATTTGTTTATTTTTTTTATTTATTTACCTTTGAAAGCGTTGCTTTCAATCGTTCTATTTATTTATCAACTCATTCTTTTTATTTGTTTTACTGTTGTATTTATTCCTCCTTTTTTAACATACTTTTATGTATTTATCTTATTTTATTGTATTAAAATAAACTTTTATCTATTATCTTCATTTCGTTTCATTTAAAAATACCTTTATTTATTGTCTTCATACTACTTATTTATACTGAAACATACAGTAATTATAGTCTTTATTTAATTCAAATACTTCTTTTTACTTTTCTTATATGCACTATGCCTGCCGCCCCTCCATAAACAACGCGAGGAGAAAACCGAAAAAATTTTGAATTAATCAACGGGCAGACGCAGCAAACTCTGCAGCAAAAAACAAAAATAAAAATGAATAAATGAACAAACATATTAATAAATAAATAATAATATCAACAAATACATTATTAAATAAATATATTAATAAATAAACACGTTTATACAGAAATATATATATTACTCCCTTATTATTATTGTGTTTAGATGAATCTTTAAATATTTATAAATGCAAGGGAATATACAGATGAGCAAAGCGCAACAAGAAAAACAGATAAACAGATGCATAAATGAACAAATAGATGAATAAATAAATAACTAACTAAATAAATACATAGACAGATAAACAACCAAAATCAGCAGACAAAAGATTAAACAAACAAATGAACAAACAAATGAGTAAACCAATAAAAAAGAAACGAATAAATAAATAAATAAATAAATGAGCAAACAAGCAAACAAATAATTGATTAAACAAATAAATAAATATTTCTCTTACTTGTGTAAATCCAGAAGAGAGTTTTTACATGCGTCCCTTTTGCTGCTGCCGCTGCTGCTGTACATTTTTCCTCTTCTTTCTCTCCTCTCCCCATGTGCTGTTTTTAATTCTTCAATAACCAAACCCTTTTCTATTAACTCAATTCTTTCTTCCGTTTGCTGCAGCAGCAGAAGGCTGCGAACGCGCTGCAGCATTCCTTCTGCATGCATCGCTTCCTGCTGTCTCTCGCCCCCTGCTGCTGCTGCTGCTGTTGCTGCTGGGGTGCCAGCACCAGCAGCAGCACCAACAGAAGCAGCAACAGCAGCAGCAGGGTTCGTCATTTGTTTCTTTAAGCGATACAGCAGCAGCCTTCGCTGTGCATGCAGTTGCTGCAGCGCCCTCTCCTGAGCAGCTGTATAATCTGCTGCTGCAGCAGCATCATCTGCTGCAGCAGCGAGACTTCCTGGTGGAGCATTATTTGGTGCAGCAGTATGACTTGCTGCTGCAGCATTATCTGCTGCATCAACATGTGTTGTTGCAGCAGCAGCAGCAGCAAGTTTGTTTTCTTCTTCTGTTGCGAGCCTCCACTGCCAGCAGCTCAAATTATTTCCCTTAGTCTCGAATTCTGTTGTTTCCCCCTCTATCAACCTAAACAAATAATACAAACAAATAACAAAATATAAAATCAACATAATATAGTACATTATATATATATGTTGTAAATAATATGAACAACTGCTGCTGCTGCTACTGCTGCTACTGCTGCTACTGCTGCTCCTGCTGCTACTGCTGCTACTGCTGCTGCTGCTGCTACTGCTGCTGCTTCTGCTGTTGCTTCTGCTGTTATTGTTGTTGGTGCTGCTGCTGCTACTGCTGCTACCACTGCTACTGATACTGCTGTTGCTGTTGCTCCTGCTTCTGCTGCTACTGTTACTGCTACTGCTATTGTTGCTGCTGCTGCTGGTGCTTACCATCCTCCTGCGAAGACGAAGAAGGCTCTTGTGGCGAGTGCAGCACAGCCTCTGCAGCATTCATCAGTTTGTCTGATTTGCTGCTGCTGCTGCTGCTGATGGTGATGAAGTTTATAAGCTTTATGGTGTTGTTTATTTGTTTTGCTGCTGTTAATAAGGGCTTCTACCGGCAGCTGCTGCGCTTTAAGCTGCTGCAGACTCAGCAGCAAAGCATTCTCAGTGCATGCAATTAAATAACGCCCTAACATACACCAGAAAATATCATGAAGCTCTCGAGAGCGGCAGCAGCTGCAATTAACTTCAGTAATAGCCGGTGCTGCTGCTGCAGCAACAGAGAGCTGCCGCTGCTGCTGCTGCTGCGCAGCACCAGCAGCCCCACATGCTGCCGTTGCTGCAGCAGCAGCAGCAGAACCACCACTCAACTCCAGCAGCAACAAACCTCCACTCCTGCTGCTGCTAGATCGAGCAGCAACAGCTAATAACTTGCTGCCAGCAGCAGGAAAAAAGCTGCAACACCGAAGCTCGCACGAAGCAGCAGCAGCAGCAACCACAAATAAACTGCACGCTATCGCCCCTTCCCCATCCTTACAACGCTTGCAATACCCCATGCTGCTGCTGCTGCTGTTGCTGCTGCTGCTGCTGCAGTTGCACGGCTCTACAAAAAACGTAAAGATGTATAATTGACCTCCGCTGCCGCCCGCCACAACCACAAGCGGCTCCTCCCTTTCTGCGGCTGCTGTTGATGCTCCTGCTGCTGGTGCTGCTGCTGTTGATGCTGCTGCTGCTCCCATCGATGCCGCTGCTGCAGCAGGCGCTGCCGCGCAGCAGAAGAAGCGGATAAGACTCGAAGTGTAGCGCCAGACAGGCGGCAGTACGCAGCAGCTGCAGCAGCAGCAAACAGCAGCACTAAAGAAGAACTATTCCCTGGGCGCCCTCAAGTGTTGCTGTCTGCATCGTCTTGCCTCTACATTGTAACAGGAACTGCCGCAGCAGCAACAACAACAACAGCTACAGCAGCAGCAGCAACAGCAACAGCAGCAGCAGCAACAGCAACAGCTGCAGCAGCTGCAACAACAGCTGCAGCAGCAACTACAGCAGCGGCAGCAGCTTCTCTTTCCTTCCTCTGCAATGGCCCCGCAACAAGCAAATAAAAAAGCAGCAAACTGTTGCATCGTTTATATCTGCTCTCTTTATTGGGAAGAGACTCACCGACGGCTATCATACACCTGCTGTTGCAGTTGCAGCTGCTGCTGCTGCTGCTGGAAGGGGCTGAGAGGCACTGACCACATGCAGAGACTGCCGTCCTCCGCTACAGCGAGCAGCAGCCCCACGCGGCAGCAGCAGAACTCCATCTCAACCCCACAGTAGCTGCAGCAGTAGCAACCGCTGCTGCTGCTGCTGCTGTTGCTGTGGCTGCTGCTGCTGCAAGGACGCCGCAATAGCTGCGACTTAGACACCCAATGCAAACTGCGGCAGCTGCCAGCCTAAGGAGACAAAAGCAAAGAAAAACAAAGAAACCAATTGAGGTGTATGTACACCTCAACAAACCCCCAGCAGGTGCTGTATCCTAACGAAACCCCAACCCTGGAAACACTAAACCCTAAACCCCAAACCCTAAACCCTAAACCCTAAACCCTAAACCCTACCCCCTAAACTGTGTCCTTCTACTCTACAAGAGGCATTTAGACATGGAGTTAATGAATCCGATAACTCATTGCCCACTGCATGCATGCATGCATTATTATATTTATTAGGTGGAGATACACCCCAAATTATGTCCTACGGGTGTTTGCAGCAAAAGGCGCAGCGTCGGCTGTCTCGGAGATTTGTTTGGAATTTGCCAGAGCTGCAGCAAACCCCCAACTCGCTCTCCTGTTGCTGCTGTTGCTGCTGTTGCTGGTGGTGCTATAGCTGCTGCTGTTGCTGGTGCTGCTGCTGCTGATGTTGGTGTGGATGCTGCTGCTGAGGGCTGCGTCCCCACGGCAACTGCAAGCACTACAAACCCTTCCTCTTCATCAGCAGATCCAGCTGCTTCGGGAGTACCACTGCTGCTGCTGCTGCTGCTGCTGCAGTTGCTGCTGATGCTGCATGCACTTGCTGCTGTTGAGTTGAATCCAATCTCCTCTGAGACTGCTAAGGCCAAGACATTCCCCCCTACATTTAAAAGGTCGTCGCCCTCTGCCTCACCAGCTGTCTGTAAGCTGCTGCTTCTGCTGCTGCTGTTGCTGCAGCAGCAAGCTGTCGCTGCAGGCAGGCAAGAAGAGCTCAGGGGCCTAACAATGTGGATTCTGCAACAGCAGCATTCTTGCTGCTGTTGCTGCTGCTTCTGCTGTGTTGTGGGGTTCTTCTGCAGCAGAACAGGGAGAGGAAACAAAGACAACTGCTGCAGAAGCGCATGCATATCAACTCTCAGGCCTTCTGCTTGCTGCTGCTGCTGTTGCTGCTGCGGCACGCCCCTTTGAAGCATAGAGAGGAAGTACCCCTCAAATGTCTCTCTATAAAGTGCATGCAGCAGCAGCAGCGAATGCGAGTGAAGACAGGGAGCAGCAGCAGCAGCTTCATGAGGTCTTCGTTCTGCTGCTGACTCCAATACAGCAGAAATACTCATTCCTGCTGCTAGTGCTGCAGCAGCAGCAGACGGCTGCAGCAGTCCGTGCAGGGCCTCTACAGCTGGGCTGCAGCATCTGCTGCTGCTGCTGCTGCTGCTGCATGCGTCGTTTGCTTCTGCATCTATTTTGCGGCGCTTCGGTTGCTCCTCTATGCAGCAAAAGTCTTCTTCTGTTATTGCCCAGCTTGCAGTTCCCCCTCCATCATCTCCGCTGCTGTCTTCACCTTCTTCTCTGCTGTCTATACACTCCAAAGGCTGCTGCTGCTGCTGCTGTAGCTGCCTCCTCGCCCCTCTTCCTCTTCCTCTTCCTCTCCCTCTTCCTCTTCCTCTTCCTCTCCCTCTTCCTCTCCCTCCGATTCTTCCAGCTTGCGGTGTATCCTCAGCTTCTAAACTGCCGTTTACTTCCATTCTGTTGCTGATAGAGACGGTGCAGCTGGTTGCTGCTGCTGATTCCTTTGGCTCAGCAGACCCCACAGCTTCGTCTCCTGTCTCCTGCAGCAAAGCAGAAGCCTCTTGCAATCTGCTGCCTTTCCCACTGAAGCTGCATGCAAAATCAGAATCAGCAGCAGCGGCAGCTGCTCCTGCTGCTGGTGTTGCTGCTTCAGTCAAAGACGCGCCTCTACGCACGCGCGCCGCAGCACAAGCAGCAGGGGGACGCCCGCGCCCACGTCGCCGAGGGAAACAGTCAGCAGCAGCAGCAGAAACAGAATAAGAAGCAGCAGCAGCAGCGGAAGCAGAAGCAGCTTCTGTGGCCTCGTGGGCCCCACCGCAGGCCTGCGATGACGACATACGCAGGAGAAGTGCTGCTGCTGCTGTCTTCAGATATCTTCAGCTGCGCATTTTACTGTAAAGGCAAACATCCAACAGGCCGCTTGCTGCATTCAACTTCACGCCACGAGGTGTACATACACCTGGGGCGGGATGTGCTGTTGGTGTCGCGAGAAGAAGAACAGAAGAAGAGAATAGTGAAAGAAGACGACGACAAAAAATACAATTTCGAGGTGGGGAAGGAGAGGCTATCTGTCTGACTTCTGCAGCTATAAAGGATAAAAATACTATTTATTAAAGCAGCAGATTCAATTTAGCAGTTTTTTTCTCCTTGTGACGAACGCCTCTGGAAGCTACTTGATACAGCAGCGCGGCAGAAGGGGAGAGGAGTGGATAAAGCGGGAAAGTTGAGCGAAATTAACGGAGATCTTCATCTAGATGTTTATTTTCTAAAGAAGTAATTCACATTTTTATTTAACAAATCAACAAGAGGGAAAACAAAAAGTTGAAATCACAGCCCTCTGCAGAAAGCCCCGAGGCTGCAGTAACCGTTCGTTTGTTTAAAGTCACAAAATCCACTTTAAATAGCAACACCCATAAGAAGTACAATAAGGAAAAAGGAAATAAATGATATTAAAGTCAGGGTTTCCCTTTTAATGGAGGTCTCAAGGCGATGTGCATGTACACCCCAGTGCTCACTCACGCCAGCCGACCTCACCAGCAGTTCTTTTCTTCTAACAACGAGGGAAACTTGTCGAAATGTGATAATGTTAAGTTTATTTAATTCACAGAAATACGGATTTTGTTTATTACATCCGAATTAAGCACCTATTTCCCTTTTTTTCCCCCAGGACCATGGTATGAGACATCGAGACTGTCGCCATTACCGCCGCTTTCCTGTGCTGTACTTCTGCATTTTCTTGCTTAGATATTTGCGATTTCCGAGCTTCTCAGCTTGAGTGACTTTATGAGGGTGAATTGATTTCATTTTCTTGAAAGTTTCTGCACTCCTGAGGAAACGGTCTTACGATCTGCCGCCATTACCTGCCCTCCCGTCGTTCATGTTTCGGTGAGATGTGCAGCTTAGGCTGCAACCGCCTGCTGTCCTTACGGCGTATTTCTGCTCAACTTCCCATCTCAAGCAATTTGCATGCACCGCAGCTCCCCGCGCTGCAGCACTTGCGGCTGAGAGGCCCCAGCGGCCCCTCTGCAGCAGAAGCTGCAAACAACTCGTATCCGTCCCTTCCCCCACATCTGCTGCAGCACCACCAGATACAGCAGCAGCAGGTGCTGGTGCGCCAGCAGCAGCTGCAACAGAAGCCGCAGCGCCGTCTGCTGCCTGCGTTGTATGGGCCCAGCAGCGTCTCAACGGGGCTTGATGAAGATTTTGCTGCTGTTCATTGCCTCGAGGGTTTTGTTGGAGATCGACTGTCTGCTGCAGCAGCTTGGCCTTTAAACTCTTTGGGGTGTATGTACACCCCAATTCGAACGAAGAAGAAACGCGGGAAAAAAGAAGTTATAAAGAAAAATGCAGAACAAATAGAGACCAAGGCTTCGTAAGCGCTGCAACAATAAACCCTAAACCATCTGTCTTTGTGTATTTATTGTTTTATTATTGAAGGGCTGCTGTTACTGCATCTAGCACAGCGAATATACGCGTTTGGAGAATATTAAAAGGAGAGACAATAGAGGCATTCAGTGCAGCTGCATTTGTTTATTTGTTTGTTTTATCTTCATTTCTTTTCTTATTTGTCTCACCGTTTTTTCGTTTTCGTTTTGCTTTTTGTATATTTGCTTTATTCTCTCTTGTTTGTTTTACTACTATTTACCCTTATCTACTCAGCAGCAGCATTTCTCTCCGTCTCTCCTCATCTTCATTCACTGTTGTTGCTGTTGCCGTTGTTGCTGTTGCTGCTCCTGCTGCTCTGCCGTTGCCGTTGCTGTTTGTGCTGCTGTGCCTTTGCTGCCGTTGCTGCTATTGCTGCTGTTGCTGCTGCTGCTGCTGCTGCTGCATGCAGCTCGCCCCCGCTGCGGCTCGAAGACCACACGGCTGTCGCTGAGCCTCCATATGCTATTGCTGCTACAATTAGATTAGAGACGCAGAGGGCTTTGAAGGGAAGAAAGACATCGAGAATGTTTGCATTTAGAAATAAATACAGAGTAAATTCTTTTTATTTTTATTTCTTTTATTATTATTATTCTTTTGTAGTGTTGTTCTTCCTTTTATTTTTTCTCGTTGCTTTTATTCGTGTTTGGATTATTCGGTTTTACTCTCATTGCCATTATTATTACTTTCATTATTATTATTACTTCTCTTATTATTTCTGTTATTATTACTGTTATTATTACTATTATTATTGCTTTTATTATTTGCATTATTTTAATATACATATGTACACATATACGCACATACACGCATCTATATATATATGGTGTATGTTGTATGCTCGTTTGTTTTGTTCGTTTGTTTATTTGTTTTGCTTCGGTTTAGTTGAAGCGTCTGCTGGGGTTAACTCACGACGCTGCGTGCAGCAGCCCTACAGACAGCAGCAGCAGCAGCAGCAGCAGACGGAAACAACAAGGGCGTTGTTTTATAACTCCACTGACGCGACTGCAGCATCAGGCATCTCTTCCTCGCTCCCCTTGTGGGTTTAGGGTTTGGGGTGTACGGACACCTTGGCTTTCTCTTCTCACCCCTCTTTTTCTCTGCTTCCTTATCCTGCATTCAAATGCATTAATACGAGCAAATTCTCTTTCTTACATCTAAAGCAGCAACTATGCATGTAGCATATGTATGCTTATATATATATATATATATATATATATATATATATATATATATTCATATGTGCTGTTTTCTGCTGCAGTGCACAGCCGCTTCAACTTCCGTCATTCTCTCCGATACACCGCAAGTCTAAACCCGAGGGTTTATGAGGGTTTATAATGGTTTTAAAGGGTTTATAAGGGTTTATAAGTGTTTGTAAGAGTTTATAAGGGTTGCTAAGGGTTTATAAGGGTTCATAGGGTTAGTAAGGGATTTTAAGGGTTTATAGGGTTTATAAGGGCTTACAAGGGTTTACTGGTGTTTATAGAGGTTTATAAGAGGTTTGTTTGCTGCTTGTTTTGCTGCAGGTGGAGTGGGGGGGCCCACAGGTGTCTCCTGAGCTGCCTTCTGCTTGTTGCGTCTCTTTGCGTTTGAGCGATTTAAATTTATCTGCTGCGTCGGTCTACCCTCACAACACAACAAAACAAATAAACCCTAAAAGAAATGCGTTATGCATATACATATATATATATATATATATATTATGTTATGTTTGTATGTACAAAAATGCCTTCATACATTCATATACATATTTATATTTATATGTGTATAATTGCAGCTCATATATATTGCTGCAGCCTATATATACGTGTATATATATATATATATATATATATATACAAATGCATATATATAATTACAGTGTATAAGAGTGCATAAAGTTCAAGCCTCTCTCTCTGTCTAAGGTTTATATATACACATATATATTTAAATAAATAAGTAAATAAATATGTATAGATATATACACTTTCATTGCGTTGTTTGTGTGCAGACAGCGAAAGCAGTTTGCTGCGGTGGTTGGGGGCGATCGGCTGGTTGGGGATTTTTGTTGTATTGAGATGGACTCCTTTAAGGAGTTAAATAAAAATGCTGCACACCTAGGTGAGTTGCTGCTGCTGCTGCTGCTGCTGCTGCTGTTGCTTTTGTTGTTGCTATGGCCGCTGGTGCTTTTGTTGTTGCTGATGGGATGGTGGTGATGCTACTGCTCTTGCTGCTGCTGCTGCTTTTGTTGTTGCTGTTGTTGCTGTTGTTGCTTTGCTGGCTTTCGTGCTGTTGCTGCCCTTGCTGCTGCTCTTGCTGCTGCTGCTGTTGGGGGTAGGAAGAATAGGGCGAGAGATAAAGAAGCAGCAAAAAGCAATTAAAGAATAAACACTCGCTTCACTCACCGTGCAGCTGCTGCATGCAAGATGCATGCAGCAGCTGTTTCTCCTTTCTGCTTTCTCTCCTTGTCTCCTCCTTAAGCAGAGTCTCTCCTTAACATGAATGAGGCTTGGCTTAGCATTTGTTCTTCGCTTGTTTGTCTGGTGGTCTGTACAGGGGATTCCTTAGAGCTTCTCATTCGCGAAATCCGCAAGCTTTAAACGTCCAGAAAGCTAACTAGCTAGCTAGCTGCAGCCTTGGCTAGCTAGATAGATATCTAGCTAGCTAAGTGGATGACTGGCTGTCTAGGCGGCCAGCTGGCTACCTGGGTACCTAGCTAGCTAGGTAGCTTGCTAGCTAGCTAGCCTAAACCCTAAAGAGCCGCAGCAAATCCAGGGAGGCGGAGGCGGGTGGCTAGCTCGCTGGTTGAAGCAGCAGCAGCAGCAGCTGTTGCTGCTGCTGTGTGCATGCGAGCGTTTTTTACATTGTTTTTAAACATGAATTAACGAACGCTATAGAAGAAGAGGCGATATTTAGTGACTGGTTGTATTGTCTTTTTGTGCATATATATGCTGCTGCTACGCAGCAGCAGCAAACACAGCAGCAGCAAACAGCAGCAGACACAACCGGAGCGGCAGCAGCAACAACTGAAGGCCTTTCTTGCTTTTTATGCTTAGAGGGATTCTTGTTTTTTTGTTTTTGTTTGCAAAAAGCAAAGAGAGGAGTCAGCGAAAAAAAGACAACAAAACACCCTATGGTGCGTCTCTTAATAACACCATCCATCCATGCATGCATGCAACTGCATGCAAACGGTATGATGCATGCATGCAACTGCATGCAAATGATACGCATGCATGCAACTGCATGCATGCAACGGTACTAGGGCGTGCTGCAGGCTTTATCATATATTATTAATCTACAAGGGAAGCTGCAGCAAATGCATGCAAAGAGAGATGTCCCCTTCTCCCTCTCAACTCCGCGTATATACACCCCAACTCTACAACAGACGCACTAATAAACACGCCATACAAACATGCATGCAACTGAAGACGTTAAGATAAGGCTTAACACATAGATGCGTTAAGATAAGCTGCATGCATGCATGCATGCATGCATGCATGCGAATATAGTTCGCGTTTGAATAAGAGGAGTATCTATTCCTCTATCCAGACAACTGCGAGAAAAAGCACCAGCCCTAGCGGCTGCCCCTTCGAGGTGTCCGTCAATACACCTCAGGAACGATGTACACTTGTTTATTTCATTCTTTGTTTTGCTGCCGCCGCTGCTGCTGGTGCTGCTGCTGATACTGCGGTTGCTGCTGCTGGTGCTGCTGGCGCTGCACTCAGCCTCTATCTGTTCTTCTATGATAGGGCTCTGCGTCATCGTCTGGATGTCTTTGCGTTGGAGAGCCATCATCATACGCTGATGAATACCCTCTTCTATCTCTATCTCTATCTCTATCTCTATCTCTGTCTTTTTCTCTTTCTCTGTCTCTGTCTCTGTCTCGGTCTCTATCTCTCTCCCTGTCTCTATCTCTCGATCGCGACCTATCTCTGTCTCTCTCTCTTTCTCTGCTCCTTCTTCTTCTATGTCCTCTGTCACTTGAGTAATAATCATCGTCTCTGCTAGAGAAAGGAGGCGAACCCCCTGCAGCATCTCTATTATATTTGCTGCTGCTGCTATAACCCCCTCCTCTATATCGATCATAAGAATAATCTGCAGCAGCAGAAGCAGAATCTCTACTTCTTTTCTCTCGTACAGAAATTCTTGCCTTTTCATTTTGATGGCTTATAAACGTGCTCCCGTCTAATCTTTCAATTGCATCTAACATATCTGCTCTAGAAAAAAAGCGTACTTCACCATATTTGCATGCATCTCCTGCTGAACCACTCCAAACTTCTGCATATCCTACATCTCCACATACTCTAAAGTGATCTTTTAAATCCTGCCAGCTCCCTGATGAAGGGATCCCAGCAACTTCAATAACATAATCACCTCTTCTTCCCCCTCCTCCTCCTCTATTTCCACTGCTATACCCGCTGCTGCTGTTTCCGTAGTAATTATTATATCCTCTGCTGCTGCTGCTGCTGCTATTGTCTCTTCTGCTGCTATTTGGCAACTCTACTCTTAAAGGTAAACCATCTCTATCTCCAGGAAATGTACGACCATGCAATTTATCAATCGCTTCCCGCGCATCGCGGCTGTCTTCAAATTCTACAAATGCAAACCCCGTTCCATTGGCCTTCAAAATAACAACACGCGCACACAAATATATATACATATAAGCAACATATATACGCATATATATATATATATGCATATATATATATATATATAAACACATGAGTATATATATAATATATATTGCTTCGCTACAGATACATAAAGATATATATTATGTATTCTATTATTATCAAGTATTTATATCAAATGATGAACAACAATTTCTTGTGATTATTGTTAATGCTTTTCTAGGGCATTTAATACTAATATCTTCTTGCTGTTTTAATCGGAATTCAAGCTCACTTCTATCGTCTTTTCATTAGTGTAAATATATTTATATATGCATATATATGTGCGTAAAATAAAAGGTATTCTAGTAATTGCAGTTTTGGGTTGTCTATTGTTGTTTAGGGTTTACTGTTGTTTATTGTTGTTTTGGGTTTAGGGTTTTCTACTGTTTAGGGTTTAGGGTTTTCTACTGCTGTTTAGGGTTGTTTGTTGCTGTGGATTGCTGGACTAGGGCTTGCTCTTCCTCAGTGTTGTTACTAGTGTTACTTAGAGTTTATTGTTGTTTTGTTTTTGTTTATTGTTTATTACAGTAATCTAGCGCTGAGTATTTCTTATTTATTATTTTTATTACGTATATTATTTGTTTATACTTCTAATCATTCTATTATTTCGTACTATTTACTCATTATATATGCTACCTATCATTTTTACTTCATTATCTACATAATCTACGGACAATATGTAGGGATTATTCATATCATTATTTATATTATTATTTACATTATTAATTACACACAAACACACACACACACACAGGAAGCGTCCGAGTACTCTTTGAACGTATATTTATAGTGTATTATTGAACTAGCATATCCCTTATAATATTATTTATTATTAATATTAATTATATTAGTTATATTATAATCGTATTAACAATATAAGAGCATTAATATTTACCGCTTTCTTTAAGTCTACTCGAAGCACACGCCCGAAGTTTTCGAATTCTCTTTGGACGTCTTTTTCGGTGAAGTGCGGAGGCAAACTGCCGACATAAACGCGGCCTGAGCCTCCGTTCTCCATATTGTTTATTTAATTGTTTAATTGTTTAATTGTTTATTTCTTTTTAATTGATTAATTATTACTTGTTTATTCAGGATTTATTCAAAGGGCCCGTCTGTATTGCCTTCTTTGGCTGCTTTGTTCTCTCTTTGTTTTTTTCTGCTGCTTGTTTGCTTCCTTGCTGATTTGTTTGCTGCTAGCAGCAGCAGCAAATGCAAGACAAGTGAATTTGCTGCTGCCGCTGTTGCTGCCGCTGCTGCAGAGAGAGGAAGACACGAAAGAAGTGCTGCAGCTGCTCTCCCTTGTACGGGGGAGATTGGGGTGTACAGACACCTCCCTGGCTCACACAAACCAAGGGAATAAGGCGCCTCCCCTGCTGCCGCTGCTGTTTTTGCAGTTGTTGCTGCTGCTGCTGCCGTTGCTGCTGCTCCTGCTGCTGCTGCTGCTGCGCCTCCTGAGCTGTAAGAGAACCCCAACAGCTGGCATACGCCGAGATGAAAGGAGACAGGAAAAGGCTGCAAAGTGCTGCTGGAGCTGCTGCTGCTACCCCCCGGCTGCTGCTGCTGCTGCTGCTGCTACTGCTGCTGCAGCGGGGAGGCATGCAGCCGCACCGCAGCAAGGAAGAAGGCGAGGCAGCAGCAAGCAGCAGTACGAATGAGGGAGGTAACTAAGAACTACCAATACAATAAGAGTAATAAACAAATTATTCATTCACGCGGCAACATCCCGCGTCGCCAACCGTAACAGCAGCAGCAGCAGCAACAGCAGCAGCAGCAGCAGCTGCTGCTGCTGCTGCAGCACCAGCAGATGTCTGTGGGGGCGCAGGGCTGCCGGTGCTGCTGCTGAAGCAAACACCCCCTCGCTTCTCTGATGACTGCAGTTCTTCCTATGAATGCGGTGTATATACACCTCAACGTTTAAAACCATTTTTCTTGTATTTCAGCTCGAAAATAACAACCAAACCTCCACCTCTCACGTCTACAGTAGCACCTCTACCTGCTGCTGCTGCTGCTGCCGCAGCAACAGCAGCAGCAACACCGTCGCGTCTAGACACATGCTGCTGCTTAATAGTAAAATAAAGTATATTTAATAAAAAACGAAACGGAGATTGAGTTTATTTGAGGTGTTTCTCTGTAATTAAGAGCAACAAGCAGCCTCCACGCGGCTTGACACTGCATAGATGGTCGGGGTGTACGTACACCTGAGCTGAGAAACGCGGTAGATGGGAGTAACACTGTTACCATTATTTTTTTAAGACAATACATTATAGTACAATATTAAACAACACCATCGCATGCATGCAGCCTGTTCTGTTCTCTCCGTCTGTGTGTGCTGCCGCTCGGGTGTTGGTGTTTGCTGTTGCTGGTAGTCTCTGTTGCTGCCGTCTGTTGCCGCTGTTGCTGTGCTGTTGTGGCTGCCGTTGGTGCTGCGGTCGCTGTTGGTACTGTCTCCTCGCGCCGTCTGATGCTGCTGCCTGTTGCTGCTGCTGCTGGCGCGTCGCATAGTGGATGCGTCTTTTCTTGCTTTGCTGTGGAGAGGGAGCAGCAGCAGCACTGCAACGACGCCTTGATACGGCTATTTTCATGGGGTGTCCATCACCCCAGCCAACGTTCTCTGTTCCCTCTCTACAATATACATAATGTACTTGCATATATATATATATATATATATATATATATATGAATGTATAAATGTGCGTGTGTATTTGTTATATTATGTATACACATACGTACGCATACAATATATATATACATATATATATATATATATATATATATATATATATAACAAGAGGGGATTGGGGTGGCTGCCTATTCATCTAAGTTGAACTGCCAATACACGCGAAGTGGTGCAGCCCCTCAGACGAAGACAAACCTCCCGATACACCCGAAGCTGCAAACATCTCAAACTGTTGTTTATGATTCCGAATCATCAGGAGGCAAAGAAAGGCGCTGCGTGCCGCTCGTTACAGCAGCATCTACAGCAGCAACAGCTGCAGCAGCAGCATCTCGTATGTCTGCTGTGCGTATGTGTGCATGTATGTTCGTTTGTAGCTGCAGCAGCTGCAGGCTTATGCGTCTTCTCGAGGTTTTAGGGTTTAGGGTTTGTGCGTTCGTGTATGCTGGCGTTTGCTCTAAGGGGAATGAAGTGTTTAATTGTTTGTTGCTGATGCATTTCTTTTTGTTTCTGCATTTTCAGCTGTTTATGCAGCCTCTCCATTTCTTGTTCGCAGCCCAACCCCGCCCGGGTGTATGTCCTGCGTTTAGGTGCAGCAGCAGCAGAAGCAGCAGCAGCAGCAGCAGCAGGCGCTTGCAGCCCCATACCCCGCAGCATAGCAGCACCAAATGCCTCAACAGGCATCGCTTTATAGATAGCACTGGAAGCTGAAGGAGCGTCTGGCAGCACTTGCAGCTCTCGCTGCAGCAACTCTTTCTCTGGCTCTCCTGGGGTGTTCAGAGGTTTCCTATTATAAGTTCCTCTTGTTGCATTCTTTTGCTGCTGCTGCTGCTGCTGCTTTTCGAGCAAATACTTGCGACGCACCACACCCAACAACGAATTGCCGCTGAGAAGAGGGCCTGGTCCTGCAGCTGCCGCTGCACCCCCCTCAGCTGCAGCAGCAGCTGCAGCAGCACCACCACCAGATTCTTGCTTTACATCTGTACGAACTCCTGTTGCTAGAGAGTCTGCCGTTGCTTCTGCAGGCTCGTTCTTTACTGCTGCTGCTACTGCTGCTGCCGATGATGATGATGGTTCAGCAGGCTCGGTCTTCACTGCTGCTGCTCCTGCTGTTGCTGCTGCTGACTCTGTCTTTCCTGCTGCTGCTGCTGCTGTTTGCGGGCTGCTGTTTAGAGGCCTTTCTTTTGTGCGTTTCATCTCCACTAAACCCCACACAGGTGGAGGAGTTGCAGCTGCCTCTTGAGCCGTTTGCTGCTGCTGCTCTTCCTCCTCCTGTTTCTGCTGCTGCTGCTGCTGCTGCTGCTGTTCGAGGTGTTGAGGTGCGATGTTGCTAGCTCCAAATACACGCAGTCGATATGCAGACAGCGGGAGATGCGTCTTGCAGGGAATAATGAAGGGTTTTTCTTCTTTGTTTGCTGCGCCTCCTGCTACCTGTAGCTGCCCTTCACTGATACTTAAAAGTTGCTGCACTTTTCTCTCTTCTTCGCCTTCTTCTGCTGCTTCAAATCCAAACACATGCAAAGGCGCAGATGTAGATGCAGATGAAGATGTAGGTGCTTGGGGATCACCAGGTGTACGTACACCTCGAGATGAAGAGGAAGAACCAACAGACGCAGAACCCAACTCCTTCTTCAAACCCCCGCGAGATGCTGCAGAACCTTCTGCGGCATTCCGCTTTAAAGAAAACGAAAACTTCTTCGCCCCACACGACTTAGGAGCTGCTGCTGATGCGGCTGCAGATGAAGCAGGAGCTGCAGCAGGAGCTGCAGCTGCAGCAGCAGCATCTGCAGCTGCAGGATCCATCGGGTGTCTGTGGAGGTTACCGAGTGAGTTCACTGATCATTGGAGCCCCCAGCTGCTCTCTTTTAAAGCGACTTCTGGGGGCTCCGGGACCCCATAAATGAATTGGGGTGAGGAAGCTGCTGCGTGTCAGTGCATCGCTTGGGGTGTACGTACAGCAGGCAGTAGAGGAAGGATATAGGAGAGAGGAGGAGAGAGAAACGAGAGGAGAATACAGTTTCAGCCGCCCTTGCGGGAACAGCCGGTGAAAATAAACATCAAATTAAAGAAAACAGTTTCAACTAAACGAACAGAGAACGAAGAAAGTCATTCAATAGCTATTATTATACGCCTGTTATGCATGCATTCATCATGCGTATGAAGTGCTGCTGCTTGGGCATCTAAGGGGAATTGTTGCGATTTTAAAGGCTAAAAATAATAGAGCAGAAATTATTAAACTGATACTTAATTAATATTCATTTTGAAAGATATATATAACTTGCAGTAAACGCCGGAGCCCAATGGCTGCTGTGCATGCACGCCGCAGCCCCCGAGTTGAAGTTCAGGTGTATACCCTGCAAAATTGTAGTAAATGCCTGTTTAAAATGCACAATTTTTCGTTTGCAATCATTTGTAGACTTGTATATAAAAGTCCCTAGGTGGCAACACAAGCTGTAATAAAGAATGCTGCGCGCTCTGTTGAGTGCAGTAT